CCCGTGTGCAAGTTGCGCACGTTAAAGATCCCTTGGTGGTCTAAAATCGATAAGAGTAGGCTTCGGCCACCATCCGGGCAAAATTCAAAATTTCCTACCAACTGAAAATATTAGGTGTGTCCCGCGCGCTCATATGACCTATGCAGTTGCGAGCGCCGTAAAAAATTTTACAAAAACAAACAATAAGACCATGAGGTCAGAAACAGAGTGCTCTATTAGAATCGTAAGATTATTCGGAGTCGTTATCAAGATACATGCTTTCAAAGAATTGCGTTCGAAAAAGCTTGGTATTTTGTGAAGCTCAAATTTTTTAACGTCAAATTTCTCAAAACTAGGTACTGGGCAGATATAACTCTGTAAATACAGGGTAGAGCCCTATTAAAGTTTCAAGCCTGTATAATCTGGCCGACCGTCAACTAAACCAGTTGTTCCAGGGGCGGAAGAAAGACTATGAATAGAAGGATAAATAAGTACGTATGAAAATATAGTTGCCACGATCTTTTCCTGTCGATTTTTCTGATTTGATTTGTTATTTTCTATTATTTTTTGTTAAATTTTGAGGGAATTATGATGTCGCCATTCTGTTGATTGTTTCTTCGATTCTGACACAGTGATAAAACTATGCCTCATCCCCTGTAATAAGTCGTTCAAAAAACGTTTTGTCTCTTTCACTGATCTCCAAGAGCTCAGTCTAACAACACACTCTCCCAGTCTTGTGCTTGGAGGGGGTGGGCGGGGGGTGTCAAATGCTTCGGAATCCAACAGGGCACAGACATGGGAAAACTCGTTACTTAACAAAGTTATGAACTCTTCCGTGACCAACATCTAGTTGAACTGCTAGTTCATCCATCTAAGTTCGTCCGTCAGCCCTTATCAGTTCTTCTGTCTTTGCCTTTGTTGGTGGTGTTCACACTGCTTGAAGGTCACCCAGAACCAAAAATTAGCATAAGTAATCAAACCATTCGTTCAGAAGAAATCTTAAAAATAAGGGGTCCAGTTAGATTATAATAATATGTCAATATCCTCCCAATTCAGCCAGTTTAGCAAACGTGTCTATTTTTTAACTTTTAGAAATTGGCAGTGTACGAAATTATGTAACTAAAGCAGCAGCAAAGACATAAGTAACAACACTAATTTTATGAAATTTAGATTACTGTAATGTTATTTTATCTGGTTTGAGGACCCACAAGTACTCCAAAATCAAGAAGCAAAACTGATAATGAAACAAAAGAAATCAACTCACGTAACACCTATTCTGAAAGAACCGCACTGGCTGCCAGTAAAAGAAAGGATCAAGTACAAAATTGCTGTTTTAAATGTCTAAATGATACTTCGCCTATTTATCTAAAACAATTCCTGGAATTATAGCATCCACATAGAGCCCTTAGATCAGCCACTGACGATCTGATTCTTAGAACCCCAATACAAAATAACAAAACATACGGCGAGCGTTCCTTACATTTAACATACTACTATTAACTACTAATTACTACTACTACTACTACTACTACTACTACTACTACTACTACTACTACTACTACTACTACTACTACTACTACTACTACTACTACTACTACTACTAACA